CGGTACTTTTAGTGGTGCCACATGAAGCAGAAGGTGAAAAGTAACCTTGATATGTTGCAACTTTTTTGAAAAGTGCTCAGACACTGAAAAAAAAAAAAACATGCCTGGTGAAAATGTAAAAAAAGATCAAATGAACTATTTAAGAAAAGACTATGCATAAATTAAACTTATAAATTATCAGACATTATAAACGGAATGCTTTGAATGAATAAATATGTATTTTAAAGTCAAGAAGCTGTCATTTATATATTGAAATTTCATGTAAGAATCAGCGTATCTTAATCACTGGATTATTTTTCTTTCAAGACCATTTCTATTGCTACTAGCTTCTCTCTTCAAGTTTATTAAAAACCTAAGACGGCTGCAACACAAAAATACAAAATCTGAAATATAATTTAACCACACAACCTGATTGCAGTGTACACAGAATAATAAAAGGATACTTCCTTTAATCACTGACCATAAAAGACTGCACTTGAAAGAGCCGAACAAAAAATATTTTTTGGAAGTTTTTTTTAGTGCAGTAAAGTTAAACCAAACCATATGCTGTAATGGATTAGAAATGATACAGACTAGGGAAACTAGGTCATAATAGATTTATAGAAAGCTAGCCTGAGGGCACCAGAAAAGCTATTAATCTCCACCTTTGTGATATAGACCCTTAATCTATTGGTGCTGTGCTCTGGATCTGCATAATATGAAAGCTCTGTATGGCCTGTCAGCCAGGCCTAATTTGTGGCAGTTGCCTACAGACTCATTGCATCACAATTCTTGCTTGACCTGGTCTTTTCTTCTGGTGGATTAGTAACATCTTTCAGAACACAGGCCATATAAGGCCTGGAGCCCAAGAATGGTCAAAATAAAAAAGAAAGAAAAATGGAATAACATCTTTTTCTTCCTTGTTCCTTGTTGTGGCCTAAAGGGTTTTCTTTGTCTTACAATGAGGAAGTCGCAGACCAAAAGGGATTCCTGGAGTTTGTTCCAGTGTAATGCAAGTGGTGGGGGTTGGTTGTGGCATTAAAAGCACAACTAAGATAAAAACGGCCTGAAAAATAGTGGTGGGTCTACCAGAGCCAGATCATTCAACACATCCCCTCAAGCACGTCTTGAGCAAGCAAAGGGAAGGATTACAAGTTAGGGCCTGGTACCCTCCTTCACTTCAGCGCAGATGCTCGGGCCTACGACTGGACATTGAAATGACAAAGAAGGGAACAAAATTTGTAGACAATGATCACTGGGCCGAGGACAAAATGCTCACGGATGTTGTCAGCATCTGAGTAACCAAGCTGCAAAGGACCCAGTGACAACAATAGAGCGGGGAAGAAAAGGAAAATGTGAGGAGGCCTAGGCCTCAATAAGGCCTGAAGTTGCACATGCTGCAGTTTCCTTGGAAACCAACCCCTCTCCTGAGGAGGTTGGATGGGCCATTGTGTGGGGCACACAGGATGTGTCATACACCAGATGGTCGTGTGCTGTATAACTCAGTTATCTGTCAGGAGACACTAAAGGAATGTAGGCTGCAAATCCCTACAGAGGACAGAGCGGGACGCCATCTGCTCTTTGAGACTATAGGCACCCTTTTACTATACATAGGAGGGTCTAATAATTACCACCTATCAGAGAAAGTGTGTGAGTGGATTATTTCAGGTTCACAAACTGTCTGATGAAGAGTCACTGGAGGCTGGCGATTTATTACAATGCCACGCCATGAACCAACCGCCTAGTGGATTCCTGAAGAAATCCGTTCCTCAGTAAAATGTAAAAATCAGGTGGAGCTACAAAAGGTCCTTATAAACCCTATAGAATTTTTGTGATCTGAGAAATTTCAGCTGAGGTGAAATTTCTGTCATGGCCAGAAAGTTTGGAAGGCTGTGCCCAGCATGGTGCCCATTTGTCACTCTCTGGCTAAAGCTCTTCAATATGCTACTTTGACAGGAAAGACAATTATAAGAGTTGGCAGACTTGCTTTTATAAACTTTGGAGTTTATAACAGTATGGCTGGACATTAGGTCAAGCAAAGGACAAAAGGAAATTCATTGGATATTATAGCAATTATTACTGGCAATACTGCAGCCAAAAAGTTTTGAGTTCCCTAAAAATGAACACTAGCTCTGATGTTATAACTTCCCTAAATAGCTCTACAACTTGCTTGAATAGACTGGTGTGTTTCACATTTCTTTGTATACTATAGTTTAGCCTTTTGAGTTATTGTTATTCTTTTTATTATTATTAATAATAATGATAACAATAATGATACATGCACTATACCACAATAATAATTGCTTACACTGAAAGTGCTTTACAGGTCATGTGGATCCCTTCCACCCCCACCAGTGGTGCGCCAGTCTGCTCCCCACACACCAGCTCTCAGTGGGGAGGAGAGCCGAGTGATGAAGCCTGTTCAGACGGGGAGTATTAGGTCAGGTGGATGTTTGGTCAGGGCACCTATGTCTCAAATGAAGGATGGCAGCTTTTTACAGTATAGTGTCCCTGTCACTACATTAGGTCATTAGGATCCACACAGACCGCAGGGTGAGCGCCCCCTACTGGCCTTTCTGACACTGCTTCAGTGTGTTGCTAGTTGTGAGGTTCTGAGTGATACTGCTGCTGGCATTTTCTCACTACTTGCTTTTAGCGAGATTAAAATGATTTTGGTTCAGTTATTTACATTGGGCTGTAGGCAGGGCAAACTGCATCTTTTGTACTAAAACATTCAGATGCTAACCAGAAACAACACAAATTTAAACCAGTGTGACCGTAAATTAGATATGGGAGTCTTTTTCACATTTATGGAGTAATTATGCAATACATTTGTGGCACATTGTTAGTTTTTTCAATGTGTGGTGTGATTTATTTTACAATATATTATTTTATAGGTACTTTGTTAAAAACTCACTCCATAGCAAAAAGCAAGGCTTGTCCATGTGTGTGGTCTTCACAGGTTTTCATAAACGATATCAGATGTGCCCCAGTCTGTATATCATCCATTTGAGAACTATAATAGTCGGATTTTGATGCCAGCCCAAGTGCAATTCACTACCACAGCCCATGTTTTTCTACCTCATATTGAATCCAATGTTTTTTAAAAAGACCGCATAGTCAACACACTTTAAAACTGTACAGTGTTTTTCCTAATCAACACTTTTAATGTCACTTTAATCCTATATTGCCGGCAGAATTTCTGTTGCTGGTATAAGAATAAACAAAAAAAAATATTGATCTAGAAAGAGAAATAGAAATAAAAACACAGAGCTACATGCAGAGATCTTTAAAGTGCATTCTGCCTAATTATTATGTCAAATAACTTTTGATAAGCTTAAAAACTCACCAGTTAACCCAAACACTGCGTTTAAATCACCACTGTTCTTATTAAATTGTAATTGTTAAATTGTAAATATTCACTGGAATAATCAGATTTAATCCCCTTTTAATGACACTCCATAGCTCTTTTTCTTTAGGCTCAACCATCATCACCATCAAGACTGGCATACACACAGTTGTATGAAATCATTTCCAAGATGTTGCCACACTTGTGTCCTGGGCTTTCCTGAAGAAACCTCTTGATCTCATCTTGTCCTCTGCTTGCTATCAGTGAGGTTGTGTCTCTTGGGAATCCCTTCATCCACGAGTGGTCCATTGTTCCTGTGCTGTATCTGACCACAAGCCACTTTAATGTCTTTACCTTGCTTTGTTTCTTCACCTGCATAGCCGTGATTCAATTGAGTACATATTCCCTTGCTTCTTTGATTATTTTTTAAAAAATCAATTCTGTATTCAGGGTCCCGGATTTCCACCCTTAAAATTAGCCCAGGCAGCATGTCATTTGATGACTTTTTCTTTTCAGGGACTAAGGCAATTTTTCTTTTAGTATCGTACATAATCTTATTAGCCCCTATCGGCTCTTCAGTTTATTTTGAACATCTGGCATTCAGTTGACAGCAATTGACCCAAAAAGTCATAATTGTCGACCCCTTCTAGCTTGATGACATTTATTTCAATTGCCTTGGGAATTGTATTCTGATGCACAATGAAACAGTCTGAGTTTTATATCACTAGCTCATGGCCATATATACAATGCCATTTGTGTTGTGAATATGCGTGCTGATTGTTTGTATAGTATTGCTGCATGGGATAAACTCCTGAGTTCAAGTCACATAATTTCATATAATGCCAGGTGCTCTGTGTTTCGTATCTGAGTTGATTCGAATTTGCTGAAGTTAAATGATTAAGAATCGCTATAAATAGCCATTGAAAAAAACATTAATTAAAGCAAGAAAACAGCGAAAGATATGACCAGACTTTCTTCAGTAAGGACAATTGCCTGGTTGCTGTCGACATAATTGAAGGCAGCCTGCCTGTGATTGAGGTTGTCAGGAGAATAAGATGTTCTGTTTTAACAATCAGCAGATTAGTCCAGCAGTGAAACCAGCTCTGTAATGGACAGGCCACATCCTTGAAGACAAAGGGTCACCACACTGGCCAAGGACCATCAAATCCATCTAAACTCTTTGCATAATCTGCATAATTGTTTTCAGACATTCCAGGAAGAAATAACCCACATTTGAGCAGAGTGACCATAGGTTGCCATTTGAATGAAATTGATCTTAATGCTCAGAGGTTGTTCACTAGCAACATGGTGACAGAGAGAATCAGACTTACCATTTTACAGTATATCAGAGGTGGTGTCAGGGAGAGTGGTGGAGTGATTTATTTACTGACGACTTGTTCTTGACAGACATGATGGAAGCCAATGTAGACAGTGTATGCTGACTATTGCAACCAACCAATTCGAACCTATCCTGAGTGCTAATTACTCAATCAAACCAGGTGTGCCTCATTTCACAGGGTTATTCCACTAACAGGTGACCCTCACAAAGCCAGCTCTCACTGGGTCACAGTGTTGCTTAATGTGACAAACCGTAACAGAAATCAAGTCTTTTCTTTTCAGTAGAAGAAAAACAAATGGCAAATTGGTAATTAAAGTCATCAGGAAAGGCTTCCAGTTTTAAAGGTGAGATTAATTTATTGAGTCAGAAATAATACAAATCATACACTATAAAAAACAAAAGAATCATTGTAAAATCAGCACGATTGATACAGTTTCAGTACAATGCCAACATCCCTGTGATGTTTCAATGGTGACCCTGAGGTTCTCTAAGATGATTTTGCATGTGAAGAAATGTGGATACAGGCTGCATGGAAGATACAATGCCACACTGTCTAAAACAGCATTTTCCTTCCCGCACCTGTCCGAAAACCTTCCAAAAATGTTCCCAGCTCTATTATTGCAAACCTGGATTACTGTTTCTCCTGTTGTTTATGATCTCCAAAATGTTACTTGGTTCTTAAAGAGAAAGGTTCCATTTGGCAGGAGGTGTGAATGATCATTTTCACAGCAATAAAGCTTTATAGAGCCGTACAGAAATGGAGTGCATAAATGTATTAAAAACAGTGAAACAGAGAAAAAAAAGAGTCATTGTGCTCTAAATTCTAATGTTATTGTCAAATTCTGTTTTCAAGTTGCATGGAAAAGAATCTCTGTTTCGGGCATCCTTCAATGATCAGACCACTTTCGTGAAAGTTTTAAACAGTGGAAGTAAAATGGTATGACAACGTTCTAAAATAATTGCATGCAATTAAAAACTTAAAATGCTACAATCAACTAATTTGTTAATCTAAAGCTATAAAACACTTAACTGGAATTTTACTTAAGTTGCAGCTACAATAGTACTGGAGGTAAGAAACTTACTGAGGGGAATGCTTCCCCACACCTTGTGTGGAGTGTTTGCAGTGTGTGAGTGCGTATGCATGATACTGTATACAGTGTGATGAGCCTGTGCAGGCTGCCTGACAAGTGAATGGCTCAGGTTCAGGAGCTGGATTGGTTGTTTTCAATAAGAAACATTGACCAGTCGCACCACAGAGAGATGCCACGATGAGAGAGAATCTGTTCTGGTATTCTGGATGCTGCTCTGGCTCATAGCTTGATATTTCTGAAGTCTTTAACAAGGTACTACGTTCAGTGCTAATGTTTCCTACCGCTCGACAACATTTAATACAGAAAGCAGACAACAGGAAAACCTACTACACTGCCTTAAAGTGAATTAATTTCTAGAAACTTACTCATCTCTTTTAAGCTACAAAATTAACACAGCAAAACAAAATGCCAGTTTTAAAAACACTCTGAAAATTACCATTACAATTACAATGAAATACATTTTTCAATTAAAAAAAATATCTTTAAGAAAATGTCCTTAAAAAGGATGTGTAAAGCAAACCATATGCTAACTAATTCCATTAACAAGATGACAGACATAGGAGTACAGCCATGTTGTCCTTTTCTACAACTTGGCACAACTGCTCAAACCAAACACTGTCTTTTGTATTGAGTCTGTGAATGGAAACAGAGACCATTACAGAGATACAATCGCAATTCTAGGACTTTAGTTCAATTTTCAGACCCATCTCCTCTGTCAGCATGTTCATCCACTCTGTGACTAGTCCAGCTCAGCCACACATTTACCATCTCTGTGTTTCATAAGACAGCACAGAGGAGGTAAGGAAACAAACTGACTTTCCTTGTATCCATTTATCCTCACTGTATACTGAACATTGAAGGAAACATTTTTTTCAAAAACATGACGCTCTATGTATGCTTTTACAAATACCAAGTACATGATGAAATATTTTGTTAAATAGATCACTGATTGCTGATTGAGAGTTTATGAAAGTTACAACCATTGCATTAGTGAGAGAGCTGATTGGGTAGAGGCGATGAGGTGATTTAACCTGTCATATCTGGTAAAAATCAAGAAAGAAAACACAGAGAGGGACCTTCTTATTGAGAGAACAATGATTCTGTGTCAACTATATATTTGACTTGTCAGCAGTGGAGCTCAGACATCTTAAACAATCATGCCAGGTTTGAGTCAACCGCCCTGATGGGCCTGCCTGTGACAGGATGTGCAGAGGAACACATACGGTGATGCTGAGTGGTGGATCTAAGCCTCATCAGTATAAAACACCTGGCTGCGCTGATCAGTCCTTTGCTGCCCTTCCTGCGCTCTCCTGATGTGACAACATTCCCACGGGATGGCGCACGTCCTCACGCAGCAGGTTTGACCTCTCCGCGTCCGAGACGAGTCATCAGCCACATTTACTTTATACCTGAGGCTTGGGACAGAATCCCACTAAACAGCATCCACCACCTGGTGCAAAGACTGTGTCAAGAGATGCACAGCTTGTCTTGACACCAGCAATGGCCACACGTGCTGCTAGCCTGAGCGTTTCACAGCAGACCACCTCTGATGATGACAAAAGCTACTCACCGTCGTGACTTTACTCATGTAGGCAATAAAAAGTCTGTGCACCTGCTACAAAAATATTTGGGTAATTTTCCTGATATCTTTGCAAATTTGATGCAGTTGTAAGTAACATATTTCATTTTTTAACGCTTAGCGCATATAGTTGTCTCTTTTTCACTCAGTCAGCCAAGTCACAGAGTTTGTAAACCCCAGTTCCTTATTTCGGCAACGTGGGACTTGTGATGGTGAATTTGATTCTGATTCTTCCCGGAAGGCAACAGAAGACAAAAGCCAAAAAGGAGCTTCTAGGAAATTCTAGGAGCTGCTAGGAGAACCACCATTCTTCCTACCTTAGCAATAAACTGTCTGCAGTTCTTCCCGTTTTCTATAGCTCGGCCCTTTCTGAAGGTATACTGTACCTCATTAGGTTGTTAGTTTCTGGATCATTGGTTTCACAGTTTTGCTTAAGTATCTTGTTGTTTGACCATTGCTGAGCTGAAGGGCACACGGCAGGGATCTTCAGGAGCTCTCGTCCTGTGAGTTAGTGCAAGTTGGGATGCTGAGCTGCTCATAGGTGGGCAGACTGTTGTGGCTCGAGAAATACTCTGACTGCAGGGTTCTGCTTTGGACCGCTGGTCGCGCAGATGGCGCAGACTGCTGGTTGGACACCAGGCAGTTGAGAACATCAACAATGTGGCTCAGCTTCTGATCCATGTGCAATATCTGCCAAGACAAAATCAGGAAGGTGTGGTTTGAGACACAGTAGTAATACCATGGTAAGAAAGAATGGGGGTCTCTGACTGGTCTGTCTGGGACGGAACCCATGGCGTCATACTGATTTAACATCACAGATTTAAAGCACTTGTACTGTATATCAATGTGCCACACCCCTACAGACAGGTGTGACTGACACAGGGACTGTTTAACCTGGCCAATGGTTTGGTTCTTCAAATTTTAATCATTAACACATTTTTACAACACAAAACAAGTAATGATGTTTTATTTAATTGCCACTGAAAAATAGATGTAATAAATCTGTGCACAGATAATTTCACTTACTGAAACCATCAGCCCACTCTGGGTGTGACTGGTCCCAGAATGACACACTTCCAGCCCTCCATTATTTTTTTACTTTTTGCAGCCACTGACCAAAATATTGATTGATACCTCCTGTATCAGTTCAATCCATGAACTTCACTACTTCTGTTAACATTTAAGTGTTGTTAAGACTTTATTAATCTTAGGTAGTAGGAGTGAAGCAGTGACTGTGGTCTTTAGACTATGGCTGTAATTCATGTTGAAATGTTTGAATGATTTATCTATATAGTTAAATTTGATTTCCTCCAGAAATAACACTCAAAATATATTGGCAGACAAACAGTATACACAATGAAAAGCTACTCAATCTCTAAACTGCTCCTCTTCCTTTTCTTTAAAATTGTAATTGTAATTTTGTTAGGGTTTGGCACAAAACAACACATTCACACAAATGCTTGTATCAGTTTCTAAATGCTCCTTGAAGCTGAATTAAAGTGGAAAATCAAGATTTGTTGGTATCATTTATATTCACATACCATTAATATTCAGAGCAAAGTCTCAGTACCACGTTTCAATCAGTTCTGCCCATTTACAAGCCAAGGAAATGTAATTATCCTTAATGTAATGACAGTGCAGCAGTAGCTGTTACATAGATACATGTGTAGCAGCAATTAAAGCTCTCAGAAGAGAGCAACCTAATACAAAAGCAAAAATGTTCTGTTGTGAAAAGGAACTAAAACAATACTTTTTGTAATGTATCCAAGTGTTACACGAAGCCCATGATTAAAACTTAATATACAAAAGGTATTAAACTTCACTATAACTGAAGCATGAATGTATAATTTACCATTTGGAAATGTTTGAAATGTACTGTCATAAACCTGGCTTTTCCACTGAATTATAATGAATACTTTTACTGCTGGATTAGACACAACACTACATGCTGTTATTTGAGGCTCACAATCATTCAGAAAAGGGATAATGTTTTTTGTCAATGTGGAAAAAGAAAATAATAAAAATGAAGTCATAACTGCCTCCTTTTTCCATAAACAAACCACGTCAGTGTGCTGTTTAATTGCAGCCAGTTCTTCAGTCTGATCATTGATATAACCAACTTGGCTTTGATTAATTACAAATGCCTTAATGTTTAAATATATTGTGTTGGCAATCATGAATGTGCGATGATGAAGGTGTAGTTTTATGTGTTTTCTTGGAATGGATTTCATGTGAGAAACATATGCAGAAATCCTTGTTGAAGATCAATATGGTCATCTACCGCAGTAAAACATCACATTCAGAGCAGGTGCCAGGAATGGGTAAAAAAACTAAGATGTAGTTTTTTACTCATGGTTGATGTTCTCCACGTGTTTTCATTACTTTCCTCCTGGTGCTCCAGTTTCCTCCCTCAGTCCACAGACTTCTGGGTAGGTCAGTTGGTTTCTGGAAAGATTGTCTGTGATGTGAGCGAGTGTGTCTGTGTTTGTCTGCACTGTGATGGACTAGCATCCCATCCAGGGTGTACCCCGACTAGCGCCTGTTGCTTGCTGGGATAGGCTCTGTCTCCCCTGCGACCCTGAACTGGATAAAGCAGCTAGAAAAATGGATGGATGTCCAATCAAACTTTAAATCATACTTTATACCACAGTATAGTTCAGTTCCACTACCTTAGAGGCAAAGAGCAGACATGGGTGAATACACAGTAAACTGCAAAACGTCAGTAGTTACTCCAAATCTTTAATGTTTCCACATGTTGTAGCCAGTGTGCCATACTCAAGTGTACCAAATCTCCTAACAACTTTCCTGTCTAGTTTTCAAGGATAACAAGAAATGTGATGAGGTGCTGGGTATCAACGTTGTGGTTGCTCCAACTCAAAGAGGCGCTGGGAGTCAATTTTCCCATCTGGTTCAAGGTGCAGCTTGACGGAGAGGAATCTGCTGTTTACATTGAGGTCCATGACGTGGTAAAGAAAAGAGCTTCCAAGCAGATGTGAAAAGGACTGTATCTCTCTTCATCAACGGACCCTCCTTGTCACTATCTGACAATATCGACTGCATTTACAGCCTGTTTGTCGATAAAACATAGCTGCAAAGAGCAAGGTAGGTAATTAAAGATACAGGGTCACAAAAAGACAAGGACTGGCTGATGATTAAAGTGGATAAACTATAAAGGCTAAACTGCTTATTCAAATGTGAAAAACCGCTCTGAATTAAGGCAAAGCTAAGCTGACACATCTAACATCAGAAATTTTTTTTATTTTAACTTTTACATTTGAGGATGTCGGCTGAGCAGAGAGGTGGTGTGGCACTTAGCCTGGGTATGGCTCCAGACTGGAGCACCTTCTGTGTGGACTCTCCATGGTCCTATCTACCAAATCATGGTGGCAGCATAAGCTGTTATCTATCAGTTGTCACCGTGAGCTTGTGTGCACCCTGTAATGGACTGCTGCCTCTTGCATGATGGATGGAGAGAAGGGATCTTGTATAACAAACACTGAGCCATGGAAACATTCAGATTAAAGCGAATAAAATTCAAAACAAAGGTCATGCTTATTGAAGTAGTGTGAAACAGTCATTCATCACACATGGAATAATTTACTTTACTATCTCTCTGTCAGTCCAATCAAACCAGTGGTGCTTGGTGTATTGCTAATAGGGGAAAGCAGATGAATTGGATGTACTTTGACATAATTGCATTACAGCTTAGGAATGTCCTTTAACATATTTGTGCAATGAAAAGAGCTGCAGATATACATCTGTATAAGGCCCTCTGCAATGCAAAGGGAGGCAGCCTGAGTGTTGATGTGTTCATGCCTGCTCTGTTTTGTGCATGATTTTTGTTTAGTGTCAAAGCTGCTTTGTATTTTCTTGGAAAATCAGAGCACTAGGAATGGGAAAACCTGTGAATGCTGATGTCCAGAGAATGCAATAGCTTGAGAACGGTTCTCAGCATTCACACTTCGACAAAGAACAAGCAGCACTGGAATTGTCTTCAATGGCTAGTCAGTAGAAATAACTAAATGGCACATGGTTCCCATTTCTCATCAGAAGTGTGAAATTCAAGGACAGGATGTAGAAACTGCATCAGGTACTGTACATCTGGTGCACACAACCATCTGTCTCTTCCATCAACACAGAAAGCAGTTCAGCATTAGAGAAAGAGATCAAGTCGCAGGAGGTTTCGAGCACATGAGGTTGTCACATCATAACTGACATAGCTCCTTCTCACTGAATAAAGATGGAAGACCAGCCTGGCTTCCTCATGTCAGTGATCAGCATGCAAGACTTTTCTTCTCATAGACACAGAAAATTCAGATTTTTCAGGGCTAACAACACAAATCACAAATAAAAAGGTTCATAGATGCGTTGACTAAGTATATGCTTAATCTTTTGACAGAAAAAAGCTCTGACACCTCTGCACAAAAATAAAGAACACATTGCTTCAAGATTTACTCATTTCAACAGTGATTTCCACAATCACACAGCAGGCTATTCACACTGCAGATGTGCTGGGTCAAAAAGGCAAGATCTCCCTGGTTTTTTAACAAAATCCTTTTTTTAAGGTTTCAGATTCTAAATTAGGACCCTGTGGTGAAGAAAAACAGCTATTTCTACTAATTGAATAATTTTATTTCACTTTAGTGTGGTTGTTAAAACCACATAATGATTTTTGTTCAAATGAGCAATTGTCAAACAGATAATTATTGTTTTAAATTACACAATACTACGTTTGAATAAAACAATTATAACCTAAAATTCCTTAATCAGATTATATCTGTGCACAAGCCATGTTGTTGAGCTCTTTGATTAGAAAACAATAATTCGATAAGAAATAATAATTAAACAATACAAGAGTCTCTAAATGATTTTGACATAAAATTCCAATAGAATTACCTCATGTACAACCACAGATTGTTTTGAATGATAACCAGTACATTTGAATGGATAGTTACAGTACATTTAGTCTTTTAAAAAAATATATAATTCTTGAAATGTTTCATTTTTTCCCCACAAAGTTAAAATAAAAAGAATTTATTCAAATATTATTCCATTATTTTATCTTAATATTATTTGTAATATTGTAATATGCTGATTTTTTATTTATTATTGTCAAATACAGATATTTTTTCTCCCTGGAATGATGTTTAGACTACTGTATCTGAACGGTAATGAGATTAAGTCCCTCTTTGTGACTTGTTCAATTCATGTGATACGTGTGATTTCCTCTGTTCCAATGCACAATCTTAAGGAGGAAAGAGAACAGCACTCAAAAGTATTAAACAACAGCTGTCAGCTTTTTTGTAATATTATATTTTAAATCCACAATATCTCCCAGCAGAGGGTTTGTTTTGATAGAAATATATATTGCCCATTATACCCACCATATACAGTTCTGAAAAAATAAACACCACCAAGCCAGAAATCCAAAATGAAGGGTCTCAAGACTCTTAGAGGTCTAGTGTTATCTTTTGTTTGTCAATTTATTTATTCAACAGCATGACTCTGATGGGCCTAACCAGGCTCCTAAAGCTCTGTGCAATCTCGAACAATCAAAAGCAAAGACAATAACTAAGATCATTGTTCAGTTGAAAAGTAAGTTCAGCTTAGAAAAAAAAACCCAGAAGACATTAGACCTTCCAGCAAAGGAGTTGAAGACTTCCTGCCCAAAATGATTAAACAAACTCATA